TCTTCGGCATATTTGTCTATTTCTAGGCCCCATTTATAACATTTAAAATGCGCAAAAGGTTTGTAGAAACTGATAATCCTCTGCGCGGTCCGTTGCAAGTTTCCGTATTCGTTCAAAGTCAACTGTAGGTCAAAATTGTTTGGACACCTTTCGTGTACGGCGTGACAAAGAAGGGACGGCATGTTTCTGGTGTTCATTTATGTGTTTGCTTACGGTTTCGGTTATCGGTGTAGTAAAACAAACCACAGCCGCATAAGTTTATGACTTTGTTTTACTGCACTAAATGTAGAAAGTTTGCAAAATTGAATTTCTTAAACTGAATCCGCCCTTCTTTACCGAAAACAAAGAGATTTCTCATATTTGCCTTTACCTTATATTCATAAACACAAAAGCAAATTTTCCGCTCTTTAGAAACATAGTTAAAGCTTTCCTGGCGTATATTAATGGTATTTTATAGTACAACACGCATAAAGAAAGGGTTTGATCCGCAGCGTTTAGGAGCGTAGGAAATCCCTTGGGTTTGGCCCAATTCCGCCCATTTTTTCCTTCAATATACTGATTTAAACTGAACTCTTTTTTTAGTAAATAGCTTTCCACGTCTCAAACTAATTCAATAAACAAGAAGAAGAACAACCTCAGCTGCGTGTTAAACTGCCCTCTCAAAGTTTGATCTTCACATTCCATGAGTTTGGCATAGAAAAGCGTTGCAATGGGCTCCCCATCAGGGGTAGGCACTTTGATGGGTTGACAATCACACTAATTGTGTACTTGCAAAGTTGAGTCTTGCTGCACTTAGTCCACCTCACTCGCAACTGTCGGTGGTAGTGGTTACAGGTAGCTGAACCGAGTGCACACAGACAGCACATCGGATGCCGCCGTGCGGGCTGAAGGAGAAAAGCCGACGGGCAATCTGTGTAAAACTTCGTTTAGTTGCCAGAGAGAAACCGGCAGAGCCAGACCAGCTGCTCTACCTTGTCTCATCACCAGTCTCCTTCTTTGAGTAGTCTGGCCACCAGATCACGATCGAATTTAGAGACTAGAGTGAGGCGGCTGTCTCGCAAACCCTCACACGACAGTTCTGTTTTTGCACAAGTCACAACCACTTGCTGGATATAGTGTTGATTTCGGTGTACGAGCTGCCGGTGCTGGGTTGGGTGCAGGCTTATAAAAACTGCAGTCGCACAATCGATTTTCGCTGGGGTTACTGAAAATTGACACTTATATATTGGGGTTGTGTTACCTGTATTAAAGTACCACTGTCAACAAGGAGATTAGTTTTCAATGCTATCTGCTAGTATACCTCTGCTGCACTGTTATAGCCCAGTTGTATTAACCCAACCAGTAGGCAGAAGAGGGCAAGAGGGCGCTTCTAATGGCATCGGCTCTATTCAATACCAC